ACACACACACACACACACACACACACACACACACACACACACACACACACACCAAGAAAAAGAAAAAAGAAAAAAAAAACTATCACTCTCCCAACTCTCTGCACAATCCTCGTCTGTCGCCCGTTTGCCGTTATGCGCCGTTTTTCTGCTTTGCCTTGGGCTGGTGGTTCATCCGCAAGAATTAATCAATGGGTCGGGTAGGCCTTGGCAGAGAAACCAGTCGACGCCCTACTAGAGCGGGATGAGAATTGCACGGAATGGCGATACGATTCGTACACGAGCAGCAGATGCATTCCTGGGCAAGAAAGGGGCCAGCGGGTATGACACTCTACCGAGGGATCGTGCCTGATACGACAAAAAAGCGACCGGCCGGGGAATGCACTAGCAAACCACTCTCGGAATGTGAAAAAGATAAAAATGTGGCGGGCGCATCTGGCCATGTTCTAGCAGAAAGTTCATTCCCATTTTGCACATTTTGAGAGAGGTGTGGAGATTCCTGGGCTAGGTCCCACTTGCACGAATTATGAGATACTGCCCGTAGATAGCAAAGATCAACGGCCGAAATCTCCTAATCCGTGCAAGTGGGACCTTGCCCCCGAAGTGAGGGGAGCGAGAACGAGGAAGCAGAACGTGGCGAGGCCCGTTCCTTGCAGCGAAAATGCGAAACCAAGTTCGTCCTTTCCAAATCAGGCAAGAACAACGTCGGGCTACCATTCGATCTACTACGTTCGAGCATTCTAGGGAATCCGCGCTGCCGTGCTGCTTGCTGCTTGCTCCTTGCTGCTTGCTCCTTGCTGCTTGCTGCTTGCTGAACGCCGAATAGGGCCTCGCTCCACCACAAAACACTGTACATGCATTTGTGCTCTTTCCTGACCGGATGCATTCACAACGTTGGAATCGTCCGAATGCACCTGGTCCTTAAAGCGTCCAAATGCATGTACAGTGTGTTGTATTGGAGCGAGGCCCATAGCCAGCCAGCAATCACGGGCCCAGGCACCACAATCCAACGCTCGACGACCGCACCAACCGACCTCCCCTTACAGCCAAAGGAGGACCAAGTATTGTTATGCGGCAGTCGACAAGCGGACGACCATTTTTTCCTAAAAAAAAATAAGAAAAAAACAACCGGACGACCAAACGCACGCTCTTTGACGCCCGCTCCAGCTCATATTTTTGGCACCTCCGCCACCGCCGAAACCCTAGTCTTTCTTCTGGAGAAAGGCGATGGCTTTTTTTTTTCTTTTTTATTTCGAGAAAAGGCGACGGGAAAACAAGGTGTCGAACTGGCAGGTAATTACTTCATTCTGTTCATCTGATTGCAGTCGAACCGCGGTCTGTGTTTCAACAGTTTTGTGGGTATACCGACCGAGCTATGGGCAGTATCTCTTAATTCGTGCAAAAAATGTGTGCATAGCCTCCGCATCGTCAAACGGCGTGGCTGTCCAATGAAACTTTTTTTTACTTTTATGGACCATTTCTCGGTTTAGGGCCTCGCTCCAGTCCTCCCTCACATGCACAAAAGACCAGGAAAAAATGGTGGTGTATCCTTCTCATGTTCTACTCTACCGGAAGATTTCGTTCTCATGGGCATCGCTGCACTACACAGCACTCGACATGCATTTGGCCGCTTTGTGGGACAGCTTTTTTCGGAAGAGTCCAACATTTTGAATGCGCCGGGTCGAGAAAGCGTCTAAATGCATGTAGAGTGCTGCCTAGTGCAGCGAGGCCCATTTTGCTTTGCACATGTGGTGAGTAGTGGAGCGAGGCGCTTATGCGTGTCATCCGTTCGCGAGGGCCATGCTGATCTGGTCCGTATCGTTCCAAATTTCCAATTTTAACGGACGGATGTCTCGAAGGACGTGGAATTAAGCTCGCACAGAGCTACTGCACATTACAGCAAGATGCCACGTGGTGAACCCAGGCCATGGAATATTCCAGTCGCGGAAGGTGCCGTAACGACCTCGGGAAAACTTCCCCGCGACGACAGCGTTGTATTTTTTATATTTTTATTTCTTTTCTTACTCTCAATTTCACCTCACACTACCTACCTACCACTACTCCTAATTGTAGCCATAAGGGGAACCCCGTAGCAGCCAGAACCGTGTTCACGAGAGAACACGAGGGGGCTGCTCCCGACCTGTCCCCCCAGGGAGGTTTTATAACTTTTCCCCACCACGTCAATGCACACAGTGCATCTGGCTGAATGGTACCCCATGAGCTGCTGAGAGGCAGACCTCAGGCTCCAATTCGCATGAATAAAAGCGATCTTGGATAGTTTCTCTTTTTTTTGCCCTTTTTCCTTTCCTAAACTTATCAATTTCATTAAACCACCAGTACTTGGCCCAGCTATAGAGGGCGGGCCTTCCCCGTTAACGCGCCGACACCTTCGCGGCAAAGGGAAGGCCCGGTCGCTGCTTGAAGGCCGGGGTCGGCCAAGGGAAGGCCTGGTCGCTGCTTGAAGGCCGGGCCC